CTGGCGACTTTGTAGTACAACTGTAAAGTACGCGGAGTATTTGGCAAGCTGGACAATGAAGACATGATTTTGACTTTGAAAACACCACCCACTTCGCGTGCCCGCACCAGCTGCACTTAACTTTCGCTTGCAGATGCCCAGTTGCTTCAGCACGCCGGTGTGGGCTGGTGATCTTGCTTTGGCATAGACACAACCCAGTGCGCTGATCCTGCAGGGAGCACAGACCTTGCACAGGTGGCGCTGTGTGTGTGTGCGTCAACAGTCCGGAGCGCATGTGTTTGGCTCAGTGAGTGACACGAGGGACACGCATGGTGGAGAGAACGTGGACACTCCTATAGGTCAATGTGTTCTTATAGGAAACTTCCGCCGCCGGCTTGCCCGGGAACTACTTGTAGAGATCCTTGAAGATCGAAGTGTCACTTCGCTGCTGGCGGGACTATCACGACTACACGCTCGATTTCGCTGCATGGGCATCACAATTTGATGAGGCTTCACAGCAACCGAGAAAAAGGGCCGCTTTCAAGAAGGGTGGCAACCTGGTGTGGGCACAGACATATGACTCACACCTTTAAACAAGGTGATGACCCCCAGAGCAACGGCAGAGCAGAAGCTGAAGTACAACAAGTGAAACGTCGTCTCAGGCTGATCCTTCATCAATCCAAGGTAGAACCTGAGCTATGGCCTGGAGCGATTCGGCACGCAGCTGAGGAACGGTGCCGTCAGCAGCTCCAACACCTTGGCATTGCAGTTCAACCGATGCACCGCTTCGGTGCCATGGTAGCAGTTCGATCCAAGCGATGGCATAAGGCAGGGCAGATCGCAAATCCCTTCGTGTCGATGCAGCTGGTGGGTCCGAGAGGTCAAGTACCGGAGAACTGGCAAGCAACGTTTGGATCCTCACCCACTGGAAGATGTCATCCCACGGTTGTATGAGCCGATGGAACATGTGGCAAGGCCTGTCCTGGCAGCGTTGACACACTTCCGGACAGGGGGGGGATCTCAGCCAAGGAAGAGACCTTCTTTTTGCAACCGGATCCTGACCCAACGGCTGAAGCGCCAATTCAGGAGATGAAGGAATGTCCGGACTGCGGGCTTTTGCAGGAGCGAGGAAAAAGTCAAGAGCAGGGTCTACATCGTGAAGATCGAGGAGGTCCCTGTGGTTTTTGCGGGTGTCAGGAGGTGGGATGGGGAGTGAGACAGGAGGAGGCACAGGCTCCGGGGGAGGAGATGTGTGATCAGGAGGCCTGTTCATGGACTCAAGCCCATCAATGGTATGAAGATGATTTGCAAAGTCATTGGGTTCTCAAGAAGATGTTGCTGGAGCAGTTGAACTCGACTCCAATGGGCCCTGATCAAGGAAGAGAACATGGCCAATGGCTGCAGGAGCTGGAGGAGAAGCTTCGAGTGCAGGAAGAGTGTCTGACTAAGCAGCATCAGGTCCTGGAGACATGGAGGCTGGCCGCAATGAATGAAGGTCAAGATGAGGAGAAGCCACCACTGGTTCTGCAGACTTACACGGTCCCATTGGCCCAGGTGAGGAGGGAACTACACAAGTGGGTGGAACCTTTTAGAGATGAATATACTTCGTTGTCCCAGACCACTCAGGCCTTGAAGCTTGATCCCCGCTATCCTTACCGAGAAGAAGCGCTAGCGATGTTAGTGCCTACGGTGAAGAGCCCTCACGGTCGCCACCGAGCAAGGGTGGTAATCTGCGGAAATCATCTCACTCGTTCCCAAGCTGAGGAGAAGGCAATGAGTCCCTTGGAGGCACCTGCATCAGCTTCGCCCTTTGCCCTTTATGCAGGTGGCGCAGATGCCACAGTGCTCAGAGCTGCTGAGGAAGAGTGCCCTGGAAGGGTGGACGACGGCAAGCCTGGATGTGAAAACGGCTTTTCTCCTTGCACCTCGAAGAGATGCTACGCAAAGGCTGCTAATCACACGCCCGCCAAGGGTGCTGATTGAAGCTGGTGTCTGCAAGCAAGGCGAAATCTGGGAAATCAGAAACTCACTATACGGCCTACAAGAGGCTCCCATCAACTGGGCTCTCTTCTTCCGGGATGAGGAGATGGCTCGATTTCTTTGGGAAGACAATGGAGTGGGTTGGCGCCTGCTGAGGACTCAAGAGCCGAACCTGTGGAAAGTGGTGCTGGAAGCCCCAGAGAAGGTGAACATGCCAGACAAGGTCTATGCCTTTGTGGCAGTTTACGTCGACGACATCTTAGCCACTGGAGAGGATGCTGTTGCTCGCTCCACCATTCGGAGGTTTCAAGATCAGTGGAAGTGTTCACCTCCGGAGTGGTTGTCGCAGGAGCACGCCCTGAAATTCTGTGGATTCGAGGTTTCTCAGGACCCTCAAAGAGTTCGTCTTCACCAGAGCGCCTACCTGAAGGACCTTCTGGCAAGGTACCCTGACTTGAAGACAGCATCAAGCCCATTGCCTGGCTGCTTGGATGATTCTGATGAACCAGATCCTGATATCCAGGAGGTACGACGGGCTCAGACGCTGGTGGAGGAGCTCCTTTGGCTTGCAGTTTGCACCAGAGTGGACATCTCCTACGCAGTTTCTTGGCTTGGGAGGCATGTGGCTCGCTGTCCAGCGCGGGCTCAAAAGTATGGAGCACAGGTTTTGGGTTTCTTGCAGGGCGCCCCAGATCATGGCCTTCTGTACACTCACCACGTCAAGGGAGAACATGACCTGGCAGAAGAAAAGGGCAGCATCCACATGTAGAGGGCATCAGGGGTTGATGGCAATGTACTCTGGAGCCTTAATCCAATGGGAGAGCAAGCAGCAGCCATTTGGAACTTTGTCGAGTTCAGAGGCTGAGCTCATGGGGTACACGGATGCGCTCACGATGGGTGAGTCCTGTGCGACCATTGCAGCCATCCTGGAGAGTGGAGATGGAAATGAGGCAGTTGATTGTGTGCTTCACGGTGATTCACAGTCTGGCGTTCGCATTTTGCAGTCGCCCGATGGACCGTGGAGAACGCGGCATTTGAGATTGAGGAGCTTCGTTCTGCGAGAAAGGATTCGCACTGGCTGTTGGCGAGCAAAGCATGAGCCTGGAGCATCCTTGTCCGTGGACTTGTTGACGAAGCCAATTGTGAGCCCCTCAGCATGGTCAAGATTCTGTGAGTTCACTGGCCTGGGCACTGGGGCCTCCAATGACAGCGACAACCAAGAGGACGGCTCCCGGGTAAAGAAGCTGGTGGCACTTCTGAGTGGGCTGATAGGTGTAGCATGTTGGCAGCCAGTGCAGGAGCATGCAAGGGTTGCTAAGTGTGTCACGGTAGCCGCGGTAGTTGCTAGCATGGCATGTTTGATGGGTGGGAAGGGAAGAGAAGACCTTTCAAAAAACTGTGACCCGGCACCTGCTTGGACCAAGGCATCCAAGGAGAGCGGTGTCGAAAAAAGAAAGATTCAAGAAGGGACAAGGGAAGATGAACCTGTCCTCACCGCCGGACGCGACACTAGCCCCACGGGCTCCCTCGGCCGCGATCGATCTCGAAGACTTGCCCTGGGAACTGATGAGGTTCCAACCACCGCCGACCGGAACCGATCGGTGGGAGTGCCTTGGTGTGGGATTGGGTCGAGGTGAACGGTGGGTGAGAGTCCTCAAGAAGTCAAGAGTTCGAGCATACCATCCACTTCACAGGGGCACGCCAATGTCTATCGGCAGATTGTCTGCCACTCGGGTCACGGTGACTTTTTGTCGGGGAAACCCCCGTGAAGTGTGGAGGAGGACGGTCGTCACTGACGACTGGATCGAAAATCGAAATTGTGATGTCCATGGCATCTATGAATGGTGTGGATAGTCCTTTTTCTATGAAGTTTGGACCTTCGCGAGAAGGAGGTTCAGGAACCCAAGAACGGCATGATTTTTCTCCAGGGCCGAGACCTTCGCCTGGATCGGTCGCACCAGCTGGGGGCTATGGCAACTTTCACCCTGGAGCCTCGAGAGCAGCGCAGCGGGGTCAAGCGGCCCTACAGCAGGATGGGCAGCTGGAAATTGATGAAGGCACCACCTACGATGGAATGGGGTTCAGTGCACGAGGCAGTGACTTCGTCGAGGGTGGCAGGATGACGGGCTATGATCTCCGGCTGCACGGATGCGGACGCAGGGGTGAGGTCAATCTTGACCCTGGCCGAGAAGCAAGGGAGCAGGCGCACGCCTCTGAGGATTCACTTCCGCCAGAGACGGACCAGCTACCGACTTGGATGGGCATCGCAACTGAGGTGGGACCGCCGCCAGGCCTAGGAGATCCAGATGACTCCGGATCAGACGGCAGCTTTTGTCGGGTGGACTGTGGATGAAAAAACCTACGGTCACGACCGAATGATAGCCTAGCTATCAGGGGGAGTGTGGTCGTGAAGAAATCACCACACTTCCATGTCAGCTTTCAAACCAGCATGATAACCATGCACTTCGCTCATGGCTCAAGAAATGTCCGTTCGTGGGCGATTAGGTTTCGCTCTAACATCAATTCCAAATGCCAGTCCACCATAGATCCATAGTAGACAACCCGGACCCTTTCAGTGAAAGGAATGCAGTTAGAATTCAGCGTTCCATCTCCCTTGCCTTGATCGCCTTCAACCATACTAGTCCTGCCTGTAGCATATTCTGGCTTTTAAACAGAAACGATAAGAAACTGTAGCCCATTCTGTTCTCTTCATGCCTGTTAGACAACCCTTTCAGTGAAAGGAATGCAGTTAGAATTCAAGAGTTGAATCATATTCCACTGAGCAACTTCTAGCCTGCTCCAACCTGTCCTCCATATTCTATCTGCACCTGTCCCTACCTATGGATCCTGAAAAATTTAAAACGGAAATATTAAGATTCTATGTTCTAAGTGTTTGTCTCTTAGTGTACTCAAATTTATGACTAGCACTACTGATCGAGATCGATCTTGTAGGAATTCTGGCGACTGAGCCAATTCTATCAAATGCAAAGATGTATAAAGTCACGCAAGTGATAAGTTCTCAGTTCCAACATGCTCGGCAGGTGTTCAACCAATCACCGGAAGACTTGGACATGCATGTGATTTATGCATCTTGGCTGCGACTTCTGCGAAGTATCCTACTTGCAATGCAATTCTGATTTCCTTAACTTAGTTCTTGCCTTTGTGCGGTGCACTCATCGGTACTCTTACTATGTATATAGCTCGCCATGGAGTCGAGCGCCTCGCAAACTAGTAAGCGACATGTCCACATTCTCAACATATCTTCACAGCAACTGCAGCACTAGCCGCCCTTGTGTCGCAAATGACATGTCAAGTTTTGCACATCTCACAGTCTGGAGATGTTTGGAGTCACTGACAAGATCAGCATGAATTTTATGTGAGCAACCGTTGCGGACAGTCTGAAGAAATGTTCAGTCGGCTGACCTTTCACATATTCTGAAGTCAAGACTTTTCTGGGAGGTTCCAGCGGCTGCGTGTTTGCAATAGAGCATTATCCCAATTGTTTTAGTCTTTGAGCCTCCCAAAAACAAAGCTCACTCTTGAGCTTCCTGAAAACAACGCTGACAGGTTACTCCAGATTCCATGTACTACCGGTATGTTGTTTGCTTCATGTTGTGTTTAGTTTGCTCATGTTATTGCACCAATGTTTTGCACCATCATCCTTCAAACGGTTTGCCTCGACCGTTGAATCGGATTGAATCGACTTCTTAAGTGCAAAACAAACAAAAACACAAGAAACCAGAGACAAAGAGTCATTTTGAGATCAGCTCATTCTCTTTGTAACTTTTCATTTACGCAGCAATGCAGGACGTCTCTCACAACATCGCCAAAGTGGAGGAGCACCAGGTACCAGGTTTCATCAGTAAAATGGCTTTGACATTGCGATGCATCGACTGTCAGTTTATGTAAAACCCTACTATTGCTGGTTCACAATTCATGCTACTGTATCACAACAGCTTTCTGTCAGAACTCAGCATGACCCCTGCGTAAGGATGACACACACACTTAACAAGAAGTGTACTGACTCGTACAGTGGCTCGAAATCCAGCGAGAAAACGGGCGCGTTTTCGTGAGATGGTAGCGGAGCACCTGGCGTAGGCCGGTGTGATGATGCTACTGCTCACGTGGGTCGCGATCGTTGCTGTGTGGCGCCATGGCAACGATGAGGAGCACTTCGCGATGAGGTTCACCGAGCATGGTCCCAGCTCAGGTGAACGATGGACAAAGCTGAAGGGTGAAGGCTCCTGGGACCTCAATTCGGTCAACTATGAGGAGGTTGAGATGTGGCAGTTCGAGGCTGTCGAGATGAAGGATGAGGAGTTGGTTGAAGGAGCCAAGGAGGACAAGTTCGAGGCTTGTGGACAGCTGGCGACAGGTTTGGTGCATGGCAATGGTACATTGCATCATGAGGAGAAGCTGGCAGAGTTGAAGTGCTATGAGATGAAGGTTGAGGAGAGACCCATGAGCAGCAGTGGCATGCGCATCAACAACGTCTACAAGACAAGTGTTGAGGTGAAGGAGAAACAAGGAGACCTCATGGGCACCATGAACCATGAGGGTGAGATGGCTGTGGCATTGAGTACACGGTCATGGCAGGAGAAGAATGAGAATCGATCCATCGAGACAGACATGTGCCCAATACAGAGCTTCAGTGTGGCAGCAGAGTCGAGCTTGGCAGCAGTGAACAGGTTCGAACGTTGTGCAGGCTGGTTGACGTGGTTGGCTGACAAAGCAAGCAAGCTTCTGTTGAATGGTTTTTGAGATGGAGGCTGAGCCGCATTCCGAAGCAGGTTCAAGTGTTGAACATTGTGTGGAGCCACAGGTTGAGAAGTCAAGAGCTCGAGCGTGTTGCAATCCAGTCGATTCGAGCAATGTTGAGCATGAACACGACAAAACATTGTGTTGTGGCATTGAGCATTGTTTGGAGCAAGGTTGGAGCAACAGGATGTTGGCTTGCATGGCTGGTCAGCTTAGGTGTTGTCTGGTTGTTGAGCCGCTTGAGCTTGATGGCAAGGAAGCAGAACAGAGTTGACAAGAGAAAGAGAGCCCGATGGTTGAAGGAGAGGAGAGTGCAGATTCGAACGTTGCTTTTTCTTAGCTGCATGTGGACAAGCAATGGGATGCAAGCTGGAGGTGAAGAAAATTTCCTACAACAAATGTCTCAGTTGGCGGCAGCTGCAACCAATGCTGCTAGTGCAGCAGAACATGCACTCACGGCGATGCAGGCAGCTTCATCAGCAAGCAGCTCAAGTGGGGTTGCAGGAGCATTGCAATCAGGTTTGACAGCCGCTTCCAAGGTGCTACGGAATCCGGATCCGTTTGATGGGAGTGATCCTCACGGGTTCACAACTTGGAAGTTTGTCTTCTTGAGCTGGTTGACATTTGCTGAACCAAAATACCAAAAGCTGCTAGAACGAGTCGAACAGTTAGACCACATGCCTTCGATGACAGAGTATTCGGAGGAGGAACAACAGTTCTCATCACGACTGTTCGCAATTTTGACAAGTTATTTGAAAGGAAGATGCCTACAGCTGGTGAGATCAGGTTTGGAGCAGAGAGATGGATTCCACCTCTGGAAGGAGTTGCACAGGGAGTATCTTCCTAGCACCAGAGCTAGGAGCTTGGCCCTGGCACAGGCCTTGGCGGCCTACCCGTCCTTTTCCAAGGACAAGACAGTGTTGGAATGTGTACTGAGCTACGAACAGCTAGTACAGGAGTTCGAGAAGATGTCTGGTTCAACCTATCCCCAGGAGTTGAAGTCGGCCACACTCATCCGCTGCAGTGAAAGTCGCTTGAGGGAACATTTGCAACTTACAATCAAAGAGTCCACTACCTACCAGGAGATCAGAGAGGCCGTACTTTTTCATGAACAAGCAAGCAAGACCTGGTCACAGGAGTCGATCATGAAGTCGCTGAACATGAAGTCCACCGACACAGGCGGCCCGGCTCCAATGGAGATAGATAGGATTGAAGAGAAAGGGAAAGGCAAAGGCAAGCAGAAAGGAAAACAGAAAGGTAAAGGGTGGTGGCAGTTTCCTTATGGCGGTCGAGGCGGCGGACAACCAAAAGGTAAAGGCCGAGGATTCAAAGGAGGCAAGTCAAAAGGCAAGAACAAAGGCAAACAGTATGGAAAGTCCAAAGGCAAGCAGAAGGGCAAGCAAGGTGGAAAGAAAGGAGGAGGTGATGTTGGACAAAATCAGTGCCGTGTCTGTTTCGGGTATGGTCACTGGAGCAGAGATTGCCCTCAACGAGTACAACAGGTGACGGAGTTGAATGTCCAACAACAGCAACAACCAGTGAGGCCTGGTTCAGGACCCAACACAGTTGCTAGTGGTTCAACAGCATCCACCTTGAACACAGCGGTGCGAAGGATCTTTCACATTGGCCCACCATCTGTGAGCACGATTGCAGAAGGTTCAGTTTGCGTGATCATCCAAGAGGTTGATGGAAGCAGTTCACCAGAAGCATGCAGACATGTTGTGATTCTGGATAGCAGGTCAGATGTGTCCTTGTTGCCTTTGAGCTACGCCAATGACAGTCTGAATGAAAGTGATGTGAAGTTGCAAGACCGTCAAGGTTCAAGCCTTAGAACAGCAGGTCAGCAGGAGGCCACGTTGGTTGTTCAAGATGCTATGACAGGTGAAGAGATCGAACTTCACCACAAGTTCTTAATTGGAAACGTGCACAATTGCATCTTGTCGCTAGGCGAGTTGTACAAGAGTGGCTGGTTGTTGGAGAATGAAGGAGGAGGACAGTTTTTTGGTGTCTCCAGATCACCAAGCGAAGATCCCAGTCATTTTTCAGCGCAATTCATTCGCCATTGAGGCCACTGAGTGCCGGATCCTGCAGTCAGATTCAGATGAACCAGAACTGTTTGAGGTGAGAGCGGTCATCAAGCTGAACGAAGCCTATGAGACAGAGTTGCCCTATGGACGTTGGGATGTGACCAACAATCATCCGCGCATGAGGAGTAATGGTGTGCACTATGCAGATCCAAGGGCAGTCTGGTCAGCAAACTTTTCGTTCAGGGCAACAATGATCCAGAAGGTGATCAACCCAGAAGATGGATGGCAAGTCGTCGAACTGTCGCAAAAGTTTCTGGAAAAGGAGAATCCTTTTGATCGCATAGCAGAGATACCAGCAGGAGAACAATATGTGATCTTGACAATTAATTCTGGCAGACCGCGATGAGCACTTGAGCAGTTTCGGAACGATCATTGGTGGAGAAGAGCCCGAGATCCCTGAAGCAGAGCAAGAAGGTGAGCAGGAGATGGCAACAGAGGAAGCACAGGCAGCAGAGGAGATTGAAGGTCAAGACATCCCCGAGTTTCCAGTGCTGGCTCCATCGTTCAGGCCAGCAGGTCAGGAGGACACGTTGTTCATTGGGGAGATGCAGTTGACCGAACGGTCGAGCGTGAAAGACCTCAGAGAAGCTGCAAAGTATTTGAAACTCACCACTTCAGGATCAAAGGCCAAGATCTTCAACAGAATCAGGGATTCATACGAGCAATCCTTGAAGAGAAGGGCACTCGAGGTGGCACGACAGGACTATGCAAAACTATGTCCGGAACCTCGTTATGTTGAAGCACCAGTTCAACCCAGTGAAAGAGAAAGGAAGCTTCTCGAGGTGACGCACCTACCCTTCAAGCGCTGGTGTGCATTCTGCGTCATGGGGAAGAGTCGTGCAAACATGAAGTACCCGAGTGATCCCACTGACACCTCTGCAAGGACCAATCCCACAGTGCAAGTTGACATGTTCTTCAGGACAGCAAGCAATTGTCTTTTGTTGTGCATTGATGTGTGGAGCAAATACTTGCATGTCCAGCCCCTGAAGAATAAGAATCAGGGTGTGATCGGTGAGATCATTGCAGAGTTCTTGGGAGGTTTAGGCCACTACGAGACGGTCGAGCTTGCATTCGACAATGAGCCTGTTCTTGCCGCAGGTGCAAGGATGACGAAGCTCATCAGGAGCAACAATGGGCTACGCACGATTCTGCAAGCTGGAAAGTTCTATGACAAGTCTCGTACTTCACTGGCAGAAAGGTACATCCAGACGGTCAGAGCCCAAGCGAAAACGTCCAGGGCCGAGCCAAAATCGTGTTTGATGAACAACACGTGCTGCAGTCATGGGCCTTGATTCATGCATGCTGGCTGCTGAATCGGTATCATGTGACAAGTTCAACAGGCATGACTGCATATTTGTCAGTGAAGGGCCGTCCATACAGAGGTCGAGTTTGCTGTTTTGGTGAGACAGTGCATGGACTAGATCCACTCCAAGCAAAGTACAAGTCGCAATGGAGACCTGGAGTATGGCTTGGGAAGGACAACATGGACCACGACTTGGTGATGGTCAATGACAACGAGATTGTCAGGTGCAAGGCAGTCAGGAAGACTGGAGAACACTGGAATAGCGAGCTCTTGCTGAGCGCCACCATTGGACCTTGGGATATGAAGAGAGGAGTTCACACCAAGGTCGAGACAAAAGCTATTCCTACACCAGTTCCTGAGTTGCTAGCAGATGTTCCATCCAAGTCCGAAGGAGCATCGAAAGCCTCGAAAGGTGAGAAGAAGAAAGCACAAGCTGAAGTTAGAGATGCAGATGCTGATGATGTTCTTCAATATGCCCGCGAACATCCAGAGGAGGATGTCGAGATTGAAGTTGAGACAACAAGTTCAAAGCAAGGCGGGGCATCAGCAGAACAAGAAGAAGCAACAGCGAGTGCATCAGCAGGAGTTCCACCTACAGAGGCAGCATCAAGTCCAAAGAGGTCATTAGATGAGGTTCAGGGTCGTGCACAAGAAGAACGACAACAGAAAGGTCGGTATGACCACTTCCACCTCAAGAAGAAGGCAGAAGGAGACCAAGGTGGAAGAGCGAAGATGGTGCACTTTGACCCAGATACACCCATTCCTGAGCCAAGCACCAAAGCACCTAGGACCTCAGGTTCCACAACCGTTGAGGAGAGTAAAGACCAAGAGAGGCACACAAGACGAGTTGAAGAAGTGGAGATTTATGTCGAAGACGACGAAGAGGTTGAGGCTGAAGAAGATGAAGACTCATATGACTGGAGTCAGACAGTCTCCACAAAGAATGAGGCAATTCTCAATGAAGCGGAGATGAAGAGAAGAGGTTTCTACAACGAAGGAGGTGGTCCACCACAAGTAGATGCTGATGAACTTCAAGCATTGGACCAGCAGGCAATGTTGGCTGAAGTTGAACGCCTAAATGACCTGACAGTCATTGCCAATCTCGAGACCAACGACGATGTGGAGGAGGCAATGAAGTTGGACGCGAGGATAGTGTTTGACTGGCGGTTCAGGTCAGGCTGCTGGGTGAGACGAGCACGGTTGGTGGCCAGAGAGTTCAAGAGTGGAGCTGCAAGTAGCATTGACACTTTCAGTCCAACAAGCCCACTCTCGTTCATCAAGTTGTTGATGTCCCTTAGTGTCACGATGAACCTGATGATTTCAGTCATGGACATCTCCGATGCCTTTTTGCAAGTTGCGCAGAAAGAGTTCGTGGTGATTGAAGTGCCAGCATGGATTCGCGAAATCCTCGGAAGAGAAGATCTAGTGTACTGGAAGCTCCTACGATGCCTTCCAGGACTACGGAGTGCTGCACTTGAGTGGCACAAGCATTTCAGCTCACTTTGTGCCGAGTTCCTCTTTCAGCCCTACAGAGGAGGAACAATCTACAGACATGAAAAAGGACGTCAGTTTTTGTCGGTTCATGTGGATGACATCATCCTTGTAGCTGAAGAACACAACCACCACACGTTCCTTGAGCATTTCTCCAAGATCCTCAAAATGAATGCTGATGGTCCCTACGGCATGACAGCACCAGGGACACTCTTCTACCTCAAGAGAAAGTTGACCTTCGATGAACAAGGACTGGAGATTTCAGCAAGCAGCAAGTATGTGCCCAAGCTGCTAAGCATGCTCAAGTTGCAGGACAGGCGGGGACGTGGAGTTCCGTCCCACTCTAGCTTGGATGTCTTTGACGCAACAGTTGTTGAAGAAGATGAACGGCTGGGTTCAGAGGAAAGCAAGCTGTTCAGAAGCGCACTTGGCTTGTGTCTCTATTTGAGCCAAGAACGCATTGACATCCAGCATAGTGTGAGAATCCTGTCCACCTACATGGCAAATCCCACCAAGACAGCAATGGCTGCAATTAAATTAAGAAGCTCACGATGTACCTGCAGTCCACGCAAGACATGTCATTGAGGTTTGAGAAGACAGAAGGACAATGCAGCGTGTTTGGCAGATGGAAGCATCTCACAAGTGAGCAGGTGAAGAAAGGAGGTCATGCACACTGCCTTGAGTTGTTCAGTGACAGCGATTGGGCATCATCCAAGGCGTCAAGGAAGTCGACAAATTCCGGCCTCATTTTCCACAATGGGAACTGCATTCATTCGCATTCCCGAGGCCAGACGTCGATAGCCCCTTCAAGCATGGAGGCAGAAGTGCTAGCAGCCACAAGTCTTCTAGCAGAAGGCATTGCTGTCAAACAAGCTCTCCAATTTTTGCTCGGTTGCAAAGAAGATCCAGGAGACAATAGCAAAGTGGAGATGAAGATGTTCCTGGACTCAACGTCGGCTCAGGCATTTTTCCAACGCCTGGGACCCGGGAGAGCAAAGCACCTATGTACCCGCATCTTATGGGGACAAGAAGCCATGCGACGTGGGTGGTACAGAATTGGAAGAATCCCAACAAAAGAGAATCCTGCCGATCTCAACACGAAGGCGCTGTCGAGAGAGCGACGAGAGCACCTTGCAAGACTCATTGGTTTGCAGAGCGATGGCTTTCAGCCTACAAGCATTCCTGGAGTCCATCGCATTGTGCAAAAATGGCAGGTTTGTTGAAGGGATGTGCACCAGTTGAGGACAACTGCGACGGCATGAAGACAGCAGTGGTTCAGAGCACATGGTGCATTTGTTTGCTGAGCATCACGGTGATGTTTTTGTTGCTGTTTGTGATGTCAGTGATGGTGTTTCGCATCCAGAAGATCAGAGTGACACTGGCAGGCTACAGGACAGCATGGAGAGAGGTCAGAGCAGAACTCAACATTAGAAGAAGAGATGACCCGTTGAGACACATCGATGAGGAAGCTCACAATGAAGGAGAAGAAGAAGGAAATGATGATGATGAAGATGACGAGTTTCCCGATGACAGGGGACCAAATGGAGGAGATCTCATGGACGACGACGGCTACATCTATGGGAGATCAAGCAGTGCAAGGACGTCCACACCAAGAAGGAGAATCACCCAGAAAACCAATGGTGATGCAGCAGCTGGCGGAAGAGCAAGCGCAGCTGAAGATGCAGAAGCCGATGAAAGGCAAAGCAGAGTTGTTCATACAGAAGGAGTCCATTCCATGGAAGCACCAGATGAACAAGACAATGGCAAAGAAGAGAAGGATGAGAGAGAAGATGAAAAGAAGAGAAAGAAGGCAGAAGACGACAATGAGGAAGAAGAGGAGGAGCAGCAAGAAGCAAGTTCGTCTTCAAGAAGATTTGAGCCGAGCTCATCATCAAGAGGACCAGATGCTGATGCAACAGCAGATGGAGGAGAAGAAAACATTTTCAGACCAAGCATCTCAGATAGAGTGGCCACAAGTCTTCTGAATTTCGGCATCAACCCAGCGAACTATGCCGAGAATTATGGAGACATGGAGAATGACACGACCTGGTTTGCGCTAGGTTCAATGAGGACAATGGTCATCTGGGGCTTGGCTGGAATTCCGATTGATCCGCAAGAGTTCGATGAGTTCAGAACAAGACTCATCAATGAAGGTCACGGACCAGAAGTTGCAATCACATTGGCATGCAGAAATTTGAACGAACACATCAGGAGCATGGAGTATCAAAGAGATCCTGACTTGAGAAGTGACATCCGAGCTGCAAGAAACACACTACGATACTTGCAGTATTTGCTTTTGCTGTGTGGCAGGCAAGATCCATTGGCCTACCACTCGGCAACCATCACGTTCAACAAGTGGATGGAAAATGGTTCAAGTCTGGACTTCTTTACAGACAATGAAACAAGTCCAGGAGAAGCCAACGAGACAGAAAATGAAGAAGAGGAAGCAGAAGAAGAAGGAGGTGAAACAGAAGGACAGAGAAATGGTGGCAGAGGACCACTCGAAGAGAGCGAGGATCCTGATGCCTGGATCGAATGGCACTATGATCCAATGGATGTGGATGAAGAAGCAGACTACTTCCGGGAGATCAGTGCTGAAGCTGATGATGAAGCTGAAGGCACTGAAGAACAAGAAGAGAACGAAGAGCAGAACGACAAGGAGAATGTCAACCCGGAAGGGTGAGAAAAGAAGTGAAGTGAATTCAGAATGTTCAGAAAGCTGGCAAGATGAAGAACTCAGTGCATGAGACAATGATGAGAGGCACTGAGAGCAAGACCAGCGAATGTTTCACACGACGGACTGAAGTAGAGACAGACTAAAAGGCCGTCAGTCTCTAAGGCGGGGTGTCAGAACTCAGCATGACCCCTGCGTAAGGATGACACACACACTTAACAAGAAGTGTACTGACTCGTACAGTGGCTCGAAATCCAGCGAGAAAACGGCCGCGTTTTCGTGAGACTTTCGCAAACACCACGTCACCTGTGTACCCTACCTGAGCTGTTGAGCCCATGCAAGGGTCCAAAAGTGTGCAGGTTACTCGTTCATGCACATGCATGCACCGGCATGTACATGCACCTGAGTCCATTGATAGACCCCTATAGTCCATATACATCATAGTATAGGATGAAATATGAGTAGCTTCTTGTTTCTAATAGCGATGCACTTGTTACTACTAGTAAGGTTTCTATTAGCTTCTTGTTACTACTAGTAAGGCATTTGTTACTACTAGTAAGGCACTTGTTACTAGTAGCGATGCACTTGTTCCTGATGAGAATTGGTCAAGTGAGACGCCTCAGGTGGATGGCACCTGCAAGCAGCTGTTGGTACATCGGAAGGGCTCGACCCGTGCGTTCCCGCCAATGTGTCCGCAAGAAAGGGGGTGTTCCAGAAGACAAGGCCATCGCTCTTAGGTTGGAGGCCATTGCTATTAGAAGCTTTGAACGCAAAGCGAGACAAGGTGATTCCTGCACCGTGGTTTCTCCCTAGGCCCTAGGCAAAAGCAGGGTATTCTTTGGGCAGCCCAGGCCGCATCATCCACTCATCCCTGTGGACTACCAGTTGACTGGGCAACCAGTTATTGTGGGAGGCATTGATGCAACCAGAACCGATTTGGACCTGGAGGGCTAAGCAATTTTCCTTGCACGCTGGCAAACCAGCTTAGTGGGTGATGGGCACAGGAGTCAGCAATACGCGTGAAGATATGTGCAGCAAAGCGGGCTGTTGAGATGCCTTAGTAGTTTAAGAGTCTCTACTCGAGAAATTGAGTTCAGGTGATGGATGTGATATGATGTGACGGATTTGCAAGACAGCTGACCTGTTGTTGCATAGTCAATCAGACTGAAAGACACGTGTGTTGGTGTTCTTCGCAGGCACTATGGGTACCTGCTCCTATGTCCTTACTGGCACTGACAAGGGTCCAGCTGGCATGGTCTGTACAGCACCATAAAGGTATGGTTTGTCGGACATCCAATTGCATACAGCACTCGACAGCTGGCATGTGCCCACAATGACCCAACTGATTGGCAAAACTTACAGTAAATACTCCCTCAAAGGGTGCAAGTTGAGGACTTCAAGGCTAGGCCTCACTCTTGTTTTTTTGAAGGTTTGCATTCACTCGCTAATATGACTTTCCTTTACCCTAAATTGACACGTTTTGCCCAGCAGTTGCATATATACATACACTGTGTAACACACCATAACACAAAGGTATGTTCAAATAGATACATTACGAAAGCCAGCCGATAGTCTAGGCTGGAATTGTCGATTGGCGAACGAAGTGAGTAAGGGGAGGTGTGGGGGGTGGTGGCAGCTCCCGGCGGGTAGTGAACCCAGAGCCTGGTGGGGGAGAGCGAAAAATAAAAACAGCATCCAAGAAGGTAGCGAAAAGATGATTTTATTTACGGGTCTTAATAATACGAGTGATGCAAATGACGCTGAGTAGTGCATCATTAGCATCACGAAGTGCTCAGGAGACTATTTAGATTGTCTATTTAGTGGCCAGGGGTGTGAGTTTGGGTAGGGGACAGGAAGTCGGAGACTACGTGACAGGAAATGCCAGTTACGAGGTCACCAGGCTAACCAGGTGCGTCCATCCAGTTGAAGGACAGAAGGGGGAGACTCTGTGCAAGCCAACCTCTTTCTCATAAAGATTGCGTTCGGGCAACTGAGAATAAGTCGGACTTTTGTATGGATCGAAATAAACCCTATGACCAGGAACAGCGGATGGGAGTTGATCCAGGCGTTGTGTATATGGGTTCTCTCATATCAAGCCTCAACGCAAGACTCTGCGTCTCTCAGCCTTCTGCTTGGCTAAAAGAGTAGATAGAAGTAACTGCAAATCCGGCTTCACTCTATGACAACAAGACCATAATTTAAAAAAATTGAAAGCTATACTGCAAAACATCAGACTGCACTTGTTTAGGGTCTCCCGAAAGCGCCTCAAGCACCCCTCGGTTACGTAGGGGTGCCTTTTTTCGGCGTGAAAAGGGCAAGAGAAAATGGTTGCTCCATTCAACCTTTGTCCGGCTCCACTTCTATCCTATAACCGCTAGCAGTGAATGGGCCTTGATCACGGCCTTGTATATAAAGAGCATATCATATCGACCCTCAATGCAAGACTTGCACCTCCCTGCCTTCTATTTCCCCGTGGTTAACAGATGTTAACAGCAGTAAAGGTCAATGCAATGTCGACTTCACCCCATAACAACATATAGCAACAAGGATATATTGTTACGGAGGCTGGCTTTCGTCCCCTCCTTTCTCAGGTAGATTAACCTCCTGAAAGTTGGTTGAAGGATGCATCGGCTTGGCGTTGGGGTGCGGTGGTCCCACAAATTTTGCAAGGTATGCGAGAGACCTTCGGGAGTACCTGCCATGGAGCTGGACGTGCATTGAGTCCAGCTCACAGGGACTGGAGTTACTAGATTGTTCATCGATGTCGCAGACGTAACTTCAGGAATCAATTACGGAACCTTGATCCTACTTTGGGGCAGCATTTGCAATGTTGATAGTCTTGCAGCAGTTGTCATGGAATGGGTCTAGAATGCACATGAATTCACGTCAGTGACTTTGGACGATGGTTCTGTGCATTTGGCCCATAGCTCTCATTGCAACAGTTTGCATAGTCTCCATGGCCATAGCCATAGCGTCATGAAGGTGGAAACGGAAGATTCGGAGGAGCAGCTTGACCTGGTAATTGTCTCCATCGACCTGTTGGACACTCCAAGGTCCGATGGGCCCACTGGGCCCACTGGGCCCATTGACCACAACAAAGTCTCCTCCCCGGTCGAATCAGACATGAGAAATGGCAGGAGTCGGAGTGGGGCTCATCGCTCAACGTTGAGAGTGCGGGCTCGCTCAACTTTACGAAGTCTTACATCCATGGTCATTCTTGCAACAAAGGTGTCAACTGTCTCCACTCAAGCAGCTGATCCTGCAGACTTCTCACAGTTTTTCGGTGGATTGCCGGAAGGAGACAATGCCTGCATGGCAGGATTGCCCATCCAGCGGATGGTTGGCCTCATTCTCTCGCTGTTCACTTCTTCGATCGTTGCTGCCTTTTTTTCTGCCGCCTCTTTGGCTCTCAGCTCAATTTGGGCAGTTCCTGGTCATGAGCAGGCAACGTTCTGGAGCGGCTTGGGGAACCGACTCATATGGGCGGTCAGTCCCATATTCCTTGGCGGCTTTTTCCCTGGCCTTTGTATACCAGAAATGATCACAAATTGGAGAGTCCACCTTTACTTCATTCTAATTAGCCTTGTGCCATTTGTTCTTGCTGATGTCTCCTTCCCATACATCATTGGAAGTGATCAGCACTGGAAAGTATTCTTCTCCACCTGCTTTTGGCCTACATTGACTTGTGTCTTCTTTGTACCGTCCATGATCGCAGGAATCAGGTGTTCCAACGGAGATGATGATTGGTCAGACATTACTGGTCATTGGGGTTATGTCAAAGCAGAAGGTGTCCGTTTCTGGAAATCATTGCTTTGCCTGGTGGCTTGCTTTGCTGCGGCGGTCCTCCCTGTGAACTATATTGCTCTGGACTTCGCAGTGGTGTTGCCAAACCTTGAGCCAAGTACTGCTGCCATTGTGCGACCTTTGATCTCGACAGTGATCAAAATTGGTTGCTTCAAAGTGTTCAGGCGAGTTATAACAAAGGACAAGATATCTAAAGGTCCAAGGGGAAACGAAAAGGAACAAAAAGAAAGAAGAACACTAACAAACAAAAGGCACCCTTTGTCTGAAGACATGCAGCATTCTAGCTAAGGTTGCTTCGAAGTATTCAAGCTTGCAGCATCAAATCTCGGCAGCTCACTGCAGTTCTATGGTTTGTTCCCGCTTTCAGTGAACCTGGGCCTGCACACCGCCATGTCTGTGGTCCTTTGCCAGGATTGGCTCAGCATTGGTTTGTGGCTTTGCTGCGACTTCTGCAATACTGCATGGAGGACACTAAGAACACAAAGAATCAAATTTATTTACGATATTTTGCCGTGTTTGCAACACAACGAGGAAGATATTCGGAAGAGGGGAGTCCAAGCCATCATTTTGGGCTGGGGCCTCACTGCAGCATTGACAAGCATGCTGATGGTCAGTCCATTAGCGTGGATGTTGCCAGGTATGCTGCGGGGTTTTCTTTTCCCACAAGGAAGGACAAGTGTGCTTTACCTTGCGGTGGTTTGGCTCTTTGATGCCCTACTTGATGCCACGTCCACTGTGCTGCTCACCCACGTTTGCAGATGTGATTTCAGTCGAGTCTTCGGAAGGTGTCCTTTTTCAAAGACACTCCGAAACGCATATTTGAGTTCACTGACAGTCGTGTGGGCGCCATGTGCACTCGGCTGCTTTGGCTGGGTATTCCAGCACATGTGCGTAGCAGCATTTGCAGCCAGCTGCTAGCTGATAGCTGCCATAGCTGCCATGGCTGCTAGCACTTTCAGACGTAGAACAGATGCCCAAAGTGCTTTTCCAAATCGCAGCTTTGGCAGTGTGGGTCCTTCCATGGAAATTGCTTAACGTAACAGTCCACAGCTCGTCCAAGTCGACTTGACATTCATTGACAATTGCAGGTTCAGCCCGTTGGAACGAAATAGCCTCACATACGGTGTCCTTTCTTGATCAGCTCCTAATCCTGCAAGAGGATGGAAAGGCCTTCTAAGGGCACATTCCCAACGCTCAGGCGAATCTCGTTTGAACTGAGGTGTGTCTTTTTCCTCCACGATTCGAACACTGTGGTGTCATGTCGCAGGTATTCTCACGTTTTCACATGAGGTCGGAACAAATCCAGGAACAACCTGGATTACGGTGATGTGCTCAAGAGATTGGAGGCGCGTTTGAAGTGAGTAGCGCTCACAGCAAGTTGCTGCTCACATCCCAGGCTCAAGTGACAAAAACATGTAATCGCAAATGATGTCAAATGTTTTGCTACTAACCACGTTTAATCAATTTCTATTTGGATCTATTTGGGTATTGATTCAACTTGCTTTGGGCTGGTAGAAAAGACAGTGGGCTTCGTGATGATTAAGCTTCTTCCTCCCTGCATTGTATTGAACAGCTAGCAGCAAGTACAGAAGAGGCTTCCAGAGAGAAACATTGTTTAAAAGTTTATGCTCCCAGGACTCCCAGGATGCTCTTCCGCGTTCGTAAGTTTGCAGGACATGGGAATTTCTATCCGGGTTGCTTCACCAAAGCTCATTATGGAAGAAGCTCCGGAGAGCCTCTTGATTTCAAGGGGAACAATCGGAGGGTGTCAGTGGTTTGGATGTAGAGCGAAGTTGGGCATTCACTGGGTAAATTGGCTGGAACACACAGGTACGCAAATGGAAGTGGCTTTGCTGGTTGTTTGTGCTATCGGAGATTTCAAAAAAGATACTACAAACATTTGGAGCTTGATGTTCATTGTGATAAGGGTGGATCAGCTTATCCCTGATAAATATTAAGCTAGAAACGCAGTTGGTTGGCATCATTGTTTCGCTGCAAAGATGGCATATGTTTCAGGTTCCTATTCATTCTCATGCCTTGACTTCAAATTCCATAGTGCTGCCTTCCAGTAGTGGAGACAGGTACGGGAAGAATGATACCGGAAATTTTGCGCAGAATGTGTTCTTGTGAAGACTCCAGCATCCTTATTGGCACAAGCCCGAAAAGCATCCTCAAGCGGGCTCTGATTGCATCGCAAGACTTCGCTGACGATGCTGGCAGCTACTTCCCATATCAATCTAAATGCGTTGGAGCAATCTGACACGGTAGCGGCAAGGCAAGTGTTCCCCCCAGCGTGTTCCCGAATGTCGAAAATCTGGAGCAACCTGGGAGATTCCCGCTGTGTACTCAAGAACAAGAAGCTACTAGGTGCTCCTAGGAGCAAGGACGCTACTAGGGGCTCCTGGCCTTACTACTAGGAACAAGAAGCTTACTACTCAAGTGCTTGCTCTGGGACTTGCTCCGTGAATCTTGTGTGGGTTCTCATCAGCAACCTGCTCCTGTCCGGGCGTTGCTTGTTTGACTCCTAGAGGCTCCAAGCTTCCCCGGGCAAGAAAGGAGTCGTAAGGTCTACAAAAGGAGTCCGTGGATCCAGTGGGGTTGGACAATCGCTATAGTATATAGGTTGGAGGCCATCGCTATTAAGTTGGAGGCCATTGATGGACACTCGCCGTGGTGGTCATGATGTTTGTTCTTCCATGTTCCTGCTGAGTGGCAATCCTGATCCGGCTCAAATCACAAATTGTCCCACCTTTGTCAATTTGTTCGACTCAGCATGGGGCTAACAAACCGGTGATCTTCAAATTTAAGTCGGCTTTCCTAGCCCGTGCGAGTTGACTTGAATATTTGCATGTACAAGTCGTCAACGTTCAGGAAAGGAGATACATTTCAAAGTTTGTGCCTTCCCCCAACAATAAGCCATTCAGAGAGCTTACTTTCTCGAAGCATCGAAGGTGCACTGGTACTTTATGGAAAATGATTGGTCGGTGATGGCAAATCAAATTTCAGCTGTGTCCTGTTTTGTCTCAAAAAATCTCAACAGTGTCCCAAAGCGGAAAGGCTTTCCTTGTACTTGTACCCCTCCGTGCTTTTGTTGAGCGCTGCTAAGAGTGTGGTTCAAGTTATGTATCCACCCTCAAAAGGCAAAAGTCACTTCAAGTGCGAACGCTTCCAGCGTCGTCTAGTCATGTCTTGTCAAGTCTATTGGATTAAACCAGTGTGAATGTCCACTGCTAGTGTTTGGGCTGCTGCTTTCAATCTCTATCAGCTGCCAACCCAAAGTTGCCAAGAAGGAATTTCCATAGTAGCTTGAGTGGCTCAAGAACAAGAAGCTACTAGGGGCTCCTGGCATCGACTAGGAGCAAGGACGCTACTAGGGGCTCTTGGCCTTACTAATAGGAACAAGAAGCTACTAGGAACAAGAAGCACCCACGGAACCATGCCACTTCCGATTCGACTGTTCAGGCTACAAGGATGTGACACAAGTGGTGCAGACTTGTCGGCAGCACAGTCTGCAGAAGTCGCGAGCAGGGAATTGCCAAATGAGTTTGACGGATGCAACGATAGATGAAGGCTCCAAAATTTTCACAGCAGAACAGTAGCGTGAGCTATCCTGCGTCCAGTCGGCAGTAGCTTCCTGGCTACTAAGTACCTCTTTTGGCCGTCTACCCCTCTGCGGGGCTTTAGAGACAAACAATTATATATTTATATGTAATGTTATACCGTACATATCACATATCTATATAGTTATACATATATAACAATATATAAGTATATAACATTATCTAACTATATAGTATAGCGCACAAAAAAGTAGACCGTGTTGTCTTCGCTCTACGAGGTCACGACGCCGGCATTTCCAAGAAAGCGATCAAATTGAAGCCCGTAGCCGTGGTGAAAGGTTGAGGCCGTCAGCACGTCAAAGGGTTGACTTTGCAAAGGCCTTGTCCTTGTTTCTTTTGCATGTTTTGCAAAGTCTCTTTTGACCTCATGTTTTGCTGTGATCTTTGGTGGCGTTGGTGCATTTGGTAGCACTCGCTCCATGGCTGAGGCGCAAGTATTGAAACCCTGCAGATTTAGACCGATGCAGAGAAAAGAATGACAGCACGTCAACATGTCTGTCGAAACCGCAAGATATGTACTGTACTTCATTCCACATAATGTTTGCATGGTCAATTCCAGAGGAGTTCACAGGAGTTCTTCAACACTTGAAGGTCTTTAGCTTCATTTTTGTTATGTGACCTTATGTCAGTTGTAGCTGACAAACGTTGCCGAGCAGCATTATACCAAGTTGCAAGTAGAGCAATGTGCACGATTGCTCCGTATGTGCGAAATCTTTGTCAAATGAGGCGGTTGAACAGTCGAACATGCACATTGATGTTCATTGCCATTGACACAAATCAAGATCATCAGGCAGCACAACATAGGTGCAATTGTGCCAGGGAACGACGATGGCACAGATTAGCTTGTATTCTGTCATGTCAAGCGTCTATATAAGTGTTGCGATCAAGGGCGTCATCTCTTTTGGTTGCCAGACATGTGACATATGGTAAATGAAGACAGAACACATGACAGACTTTTGCCCTTTTCTCACCCCACACCCCGCTTGTTTTGTGAAGCCATGCTACAGGAACAAGGTCACTGACATACTTAATAAACAACACAAGAGCTGTCAAACTGACAAATGCTTGTGATGTCGCGTCGTTTGCATCGTCATTGAGTTGTTGGATTAGCTTGATTGGCTATCTGCAAAATGTATGGTGAAGCAGCAGCCATGCGGATATTGAAGTATATTGAAGTGCGTATGACGTATGACAGACCCCGTGGCAGATTGAACAGATGCTGCAATAGGTTTTGAATGTCACAGCATCGATGTTCGGAGGAGCTGACGCTGAAGAGAGAGAGTGCATCATTTGCTTTGAGACCTTAGAGTCCAGGCGACGCGACGACGGGCCAGACCAAATAGCGTCGAACGGAACGGTGGCCTCCACCCTAATAGCTTCTTGCTACCTTGCAACAATCAGATATTAGTCTTTTTAAGGAGACATTATATGTGTTATATTTATATTATAAATCTTGATTGAAAGAAGCAGGGTCAGGTGGAAGGACATTGGATGTTATCCTTTTTGAAGCTACAAAGCTGGATGAATCCCTGCGGGTGTGCGTCACCAAACGATAAACCCCTCACCACTATTGTAGGACATATGAGCAACCACCAAAGCGTGCAATTACTAATTTAGTAAAGAGCAGTCGTGAATCTCAGGAATTGGGCGAAAGCGACAGGCCACCCTCAAAAAGGCGACATATAACTATATGTCCACAGTTTTTGGATATGTTCAGCTATGTTGACATTGTTGCTACAACCTGAAAAAGCGATAGGCCCCCCTCAAAAGCGATAACCTTGCTGAATCATGTCCTCTACTTGACAGTACGTTTTGGCAGACACTCATATGGGTTCAGGTCAGTTGGACAATGGTCAAAGCTTGGACATTCTGAGATTGAGGTTCAATGTTAGCAACCTTCCTTGCTTCCCTACTTATGGTTGGCAACGGGAGATGCAGATAAACGGTAACAAACCTAGCCTAAGCCTAAGCCTCGTGGAATGTTGGGAATCGAGTCAATCTGCAACAGCTGCAAGCATCGACAGTTGCATCATTGTTTCCAGCAATACGCCAAACTCCGGTCATAAGACGCCAAGCGCATGAGTACAATTTGGCATCATACGCAGGGGTGGCGCAGCCGCCAGCTCAGAGTACGTTTGGTACAGGACATTTCTGATTGCAGCATCGTTTGAGCTTGTCATGGCCTTTTTGTTCATAGCTTTGGGTCTTCAAAGCAACATGCAGCCATGCAGCAGTACTGACAATTGCTGCTTGTTCATATATATATATATTATATATACACAGTATAGATCATTATATATTATATCCCATCCTACAGTTCTGTTTGTGGTGCAAAACACATACTGTAGGGTCTTTTGTGGTTTCCAGCCAGTGCCAGAGTTTCCTCAACCAAAGAGCACTTTCATAGACCCTCCAGACCAATGGTGAATCCTTGAAGAGAACCGAGCTGAGGTCTCTTTACCATGCAGTTGCAAGGTGGCTTATTGTCCTCAATGTCACTACCTCAAAAGCCTCGTTGCACTTCAGCTTCCACGTGACCTGGGGGTGCTCCCAAAGCCTTGTTGGACACAAAAAGTCGCACCTTTGGCACCTCTTGCTGTGCGTATTTTTTGCTTCCCTCGAGTCATGTTGGAATCAAAAAACGTGATGCAAAACCGAGGGGTGAAGGTCACAGGGTGGAACGTGGTGCTCTCGTCCACTTAGGTTGGGACAGATCTTTGGCTGCCAGTATGTCTTCCTGTGGTGCAGAAACCCAGACAAAAGGTCAATTCAGGATTGTGTTGAGGACCCTGCTTTAAGAGATCTGGAGTCTTGCAGGGTATGCTTAAAGCAACCTAAGAAGAACAAGAGAAGGAATATGAATAAGAGAAGAAACAACATAAGATATGTTTGATTCTGGTTGGGTCAGGCTACGCACTGTGTCCATCATGTCGAACTCCCATGCAGGCGGATCGGCGAGGTTGTGGCGAATACACCACAACAAAAAGGGGCACTTTGCAAAGCTTGTTAACTGAGGGTCATTGCACATCAAGACTTTCTTGAGCCATTCACCATTGATCTATCTATATATATATTATTGGTTGGTCTCAAAAGACAACGAAGGAACTTCCAAACCAATACGTGGGGTGCTTCTCGGTGAAAGTGTTTTTTCTTTAAACACTTACCGAGATTGTGCGGAAAGAAAGATCAAAACGACATTACCAAAGGAAGCCAGAGACCAGTAATGTATGTGTAATGCCTTCCCAGTGGATTGTTCCTGTTCAGTGTCACAAGGGGATGGTATGGTACGATAATACCAGAGCCCTTCCCGACTGCTTGCTTGCTCGGCTCGTCCTTGATGCTTCGTCCTTCAACTGTAACATCAGAAACCGGTCTTGTTTGTCTCCGGTTGTTTGGTTGTCTTGGCCCCCCAAGTTTGCCACTTTTGTCCTGGTTGTCTTTTGTTCATCCAAAACACCATGGTGCATTTCCTGGTTCTTGGGGTATCTGCGACCAGGTCTTGTCTTGGAAGGGATGCTACCTGGAGTGGATGAAATGTGGTCCTTCACAGCCCAAACAACCAGCGCAAGCAACATGCTCTTCAGCAAACAAAAAGGGTCCAGCACACCAGCTGCTCAGTCTCTATGTTGTGGGCGGAGGCCATGGCTACTAGGCCATTACTACTAGTTACAAGAAAGCTTTCTAGTAGACAAATAATTTTGAAAGTTGCGTTGAGCGGTGAGGAGGGCCACATTTGACAGTTGCTTCCTGTTTCGGAGGGATTGTTTGGAAGTGGCAATACATGACCAGAGAGACAAATAAAATTCCAAATGGGACATAAATAATACAATATATATATATATATATGTATATTATACATAACGTATAATGTACTGAGTACGTTACTAACTGTGTCACGTGGTGTGACAATCACCGGGCCAGGTGGATTTCGATGCAGAGAGTCGGAAGCTGTCCTTCTCCAAGTCCATGGAGGGAGGCGAAGTGGCAACATGTGACAAGCCAAAAGGAAAGCGAGAGTGAAAAGCCCAGCGGAAAGTTAGTGAAGACCCACCACTTCACTTCATCGATCTTCAATATGTTACCATTGATGTCTAATTGTGACGCTTTTGATGCGTTGTCTCGATGTTGCGTCACCAGGGTGTTTCTGAAGCCAGGCAGCTCCAGCTCAAAACCCGCAGGGAAGCCCATTGAGAAACAATTGTGTAGGCATTTGCACGAGTTTCGTTAATTACAGCGATGCTGCTGCTTGAGAGTCCCCAAGCACTTTGTCTCTTGAACAGTAGGTTGTGTAGGGAAACAAACAACAACAATAATTGTTATTATATGTTGTGATTCATGATTGTTGCTTCTTTGATTGCAATCAGGGTTCGCTGCAACGTACCCGCTGTATTATTGAAGCTTTGGGTGTGATGATTGAAGATCCAGCCATAGATACAACGAGCCTAAATAGGTGTTTTAAAGCATAAGTACTGTAAAGCAAACAAAAAAGTAAAAAATGTAGCTGTTCGTGTTTTTTGCGTTTTCACTTTTGTTCACCTTTTTTGCATGGTTTTCGCATTATTTCGCTTTGTCTGTGTTTTATTAGAATGTTGCAAGCCACGAAAGCGACTCTGCAGCATCATTGCCCGTCACTTAGTCATAGCGGACACGCAGGAGGTGTCCACGCACTTTTGCCATGTGCTGGAGAATCTGTTTGTCCTCCTCATTCAAAAACCAAGAATTGCCTTTGCGGGAAATCACTCGAGGCCATCCTAACCGTTATTGCACTTCATCAGAAGGTACGGCCGGGCGGCTAATTATCAGAGAAGGCCGCACACTCCCAACATGAATGATACCAAGAAGGTATCACCGGTTCATTGCAGTGCACACAGTGGTTAGCAATGACCTCCCTACGCATAGCTTGCACACAAGCATCGGAAACTGCTGCACCTGTCAAAACGGCACGGGTATGAACACAACCTTGTTGGTATGCTTTGCGTGTCGCAAAAATGCATGCTTCACCATACAAAAGATGTGGAAACCTTTGCAACTCTCGACGACGCGAAGCGAGCCATTTGCGAAAAAGTTGTCTTCGCCAACTTTCCCTAATCCTATGCATGGCTACATCATTATCCTGCAAAATAATTAGTCATGTCAATTTCACCACACTCATCATGAGTCCAAGTCCAGGGTCCCGAATTTTGCCAACCAAGATTCCGCAAGTGATGGGCAAGTGTTTGCGGCCGTGCGTGGAGCTTGGGGGCACAAACCATGGGGGGCCATCCCCTTTGGCGACAGTACGATACAAAGCACTGATAATGATACAACTGAGGATCGATCGCATTTTTGCTTGTGTGGAATGGCCGGCCAATAGTGCAGTGAGTGCAGGGTTGGCAGGCGAGCGCCAAAATTTCCTGCATTTGTTTATGGCAGTTTGCAAAGAAGCCCACTGCTGCATGTTGACAAAAAACAACATCCCCAGGTTGCCTTAAGA